CTATATAATAAGAACTACTATTCTTATTAAGCTATTACCGTGATCATTTTAACAGTATTTCATTTGTGCATCGAGGAACTTTCAATCAAATCAACTTCCATTCCAGAGAACATTAAATTGGACATTAGAATAAAAGAGAAAGTCACTGGCTTTTTATAGTTCACAAAATGTCCGTCACTGCAGGAAAAATAAAATATGTCCGTTTATATATCAACATTTTAAAGTTTGAGAATGTTTTAGTTGGCGTTTTATACCATCCATTTTTTTGAAGCCATATCGACGGCCTGGACTTTTCCCGCCGACGTTTTTCGAGCTTCCGCCGGCCTTTTTGGACGCACACCTCGCAGGCACAGCTAAGGGCTGTTGAGACAGCAGCAGCCCTGAAACAGGACGAATGTCCTTGTCAGTCACAGGCAGTCAATGTAGCGCTTCAATCTCACACGACCGAGAAAGGAATGATAACAATAGTATTATTATTAATAAATTTCTTTGCGCACGTCTGATTTTAACCTCGCTTATGCATGAACTGCAACGAGTATACGAAGCTAAACATAATTTACACAGCGACAACTGAACAGGAGCGCTACATCAGTGGATTCGGAAACTTAGCTCTACGGAGAATAATGTGGCGACCAGAAGTGGAGATCATTAAAACGAATTATTCGTTTGTGTAGTTACCCAGAAAATCTAAACCTTATCCATCTCTTATTTTTACTATAAAGAGAACGTGGACATTAGTTTTTTTACATTATTGCTTATTTTATGCCTTTTTTAAATAACTGTTTAAAAACGAAAACAATGCATTTTACTTTCCTTTCTGTTACATATAAAAATGTGAACAGAGTTGATTTCAAACCAAAGAGAACAATTTATGTAATACTACTTCAGCATCTTCACATAACTCATGGTATGTGTGAGCATACATTCACCTCTGCTTAGCACAAATTATAAAGGAGTCATACATAACTGCTCTGAAGAAATAATAAATGCATGCGTTCACCTGTTCTCGATTTAAATAACAAGGACAACAGCGCAGCCATGTTCTAGAATCCTCTGAACTCCGACCTTTCCCATCATGCCTGTTAGACGTTACAGATTTCCCGTCATGCCAGAGTGTCGCGGGAAATCCAGGCAAGTCAACAAAAGCCTGTATGGATTCCTTCAACCAGGTAATTAAATGGATTCCCTTGGATTAGTTAACTGTCTTAATTAATTGGTATAAACGAGACAAACATGACAGTCATTATTTAATCTTGGAAATAAAACACTAAGATCAGCAAATTTAAGGGGATTTATTTTATTGCAATAGCAAGATAAATGTAAAAATGTACGTCCTGAATGCTTTAATGACTTTCCGATTATATAATTATGTTAAGTGGAGTGGTATCTGGTTTCTCTTGCACTGTTTACCGAACTTCCGATTGCTACGTTGCACGGAAGATGAAATCATGCCGTTTTCGATCTTTACGTTACTGCAGACAGAAGTTACAGTACAAACTCATGCAAAATGCTTTGCTGGCTAATAATTGTAAGTTGTTCTTATCAGGGGGTGTAATTTTCCATAACTATTGCAATGTTTTTTTTTTAAATTACGTACTGCTTCGGATTTTCATTTATATATAGAAATTCAAGAAATATACATCCATTCATGATCAGAAAGCAGCTTATCCCTCTTTAGCGTCGCAGCAGAACTAACGGTCTTCTGGACTAGGGACTTCGAACCCTGGTCCCGGTGACCCACAGCCTACTGGTTTTGTTGAAGCCGAGCTATTTGCTTGATTGCATACTTAATTCCACCACTTAGCTGCTTGAGTGGAACTGGGAACTTTGCAACCGGTTTCATTCTATTCTAATGAAGGAGATCGTGTTTCTTAGATTAATACAATAGTTACAGTAATTAAAAGACAACCTCCAACAGGTTTAGGAATCAAAACCAATTAAAGAGTTCAACTTAGTCATGTTATTAACCCAATTAAGAATTAAATTATGTAACGGGAAGAACAGTTGGACCGAAAGCCAGCAGGTGTGGGCTTCCCTAGAGCCAGGACTGGGAAACCCTTGTCCTGAACTGATCAGGCAGTGTCAGTTCTTTTAGTGAAAAGGCACAAAAAATCTGTCATACGGCTTTAAACTTATGGTGAAACAGACTTGACCTTGTCCACTCCATCTTTGCCAAGATTCAAGGTGTAGTGAAAATGGTATGTTCTGTTGAAATGTCACTTATTTACTAATTAAAACTGTTTAATTGTGGTTTACTGTGATTATATCAGAATCCAATATTTAAAGTGCCATGCGGTTATACTATTTTAATATTTTGGTCAAGTTACATGGAGTTTGTTGGGCTCTTATCCCAGTTTTAACTGGGTCTTAAAACCCAAGTAAAAGGAGATTAATGTTGCATTATCAGAATTATTTTAATTATGTTTACACTTTATAAAATACAGATGGTTTTGATTATTTTTTTTTAAATCCAAAGGAGGCATAAACACAGTTAAGAGAAGTGTGGGGGTTTTATTGAATTTCCAACCATGGTCACTTTTTTTGTGTGTTCTTGGTCTACTGTACAGACTGTGCTCCGTCCTGATATTCCATTGGGCGGGGATGGGTGGGAGCAGGCAGAATTCTGAGCACAGTGACACTGACTCCAGCTCTGACCTCGACGACCTGCCAGTCTTCGACTTCCTGCAGCCAAGACCCACCCTTGCATGCAGGAGCGGTTATCCTCAGAAGCCGCTGGACGTGGTCATCCTTGACAGCTCGGACTCGGAGCCACCCGATCAAGATCCGGAATCCGCCCTGCCTGTCGTGCTCCATTCTGCCCAAGAGCGAGAGGTCACCATGATCAGCAGCGGGAGTGAAGAGGAGGAGGAGTTTGTGCCTCTCTTAGAGAGACTGAAAGGACATTTCAGAGGCACTGCATCTGCAGCCTGTCCGGTTCAATCTGAGCAAGACTCTGCAGGTGGCACTGTTGATGCGCAGTACTCTTCAAAATCCTCGGAACCCAGTTTTCCCCAGCTGCCTCCTCCAACTTCCACCACTGGCTTACAGCGAGCTTCTGTTTGGGACTTCTCTGATTCAGAGGAGGAAAACACAGCCCCGGATTCCAAGAAGCCTAATCTGGGATCCCATGGCCCTGGGAGACATAGCTTTCCCAGTTCAGTAGAATGGGCAGACAGAAACATTTCACCTCTCAGGAAGAAAGCAGTGAAGCACAGGCAGGAGGAGATAGATGAGGCCAGAGCTGTGGCTGTGGAGAGGAGGAAAGGCAAGGAGAGGCAGAAAGCCGAGAGGGAGAACCGTAAACAGGAGCTGGAGAGACAGAGAGCGGAGAGGAAAGCCTTGGCTGATGCAGTTAAAGCCCTGAGGCCCGAGGAGTGCATGAAGCATATGGTGGTCACCATTGATCCAGGCAGGTGTTGCTTCACACACAAAACGCTGACATCACACAGGAAAGACTGACAAAGACAGCTTACGGGCTCAATGCCCTGCTTTTTGGTGCAGTGTGCTCTCAACAGCAGAGAAATTTGCAATTTACAAAAGAGATTTAATGATAAGGAAACAAAAAATTGTTGTGTAGCACTTTGATAGCATTCCTGTTCTGCAGGCTGTGCGTATAACTGGGTACCTGCATAGGTGGGGGAGAACCTGTGATGGTCCCAGGTCTCATCCAGGGGGAGTCCTGATCTCTCAGTCCGTCACATTCTAACTGGGATGAGCTGTGGTGCGATTGTGAATTCGGGGAATGAAAAAAATGGAGGGGATGTGACAAAGCACACAGAACATGGAATCTTTAGTCCACAGACATAGAAGATAGGAAATTATATTTAGAATTGTATATTTTAAAATTTAAATTTGAAATAGGGGTAGGATTGCTCAGGGTTCAGTTTATGGGTTAATTCCTGGGTTCTATCTATCTCTGGGGTGCTCTCTGCATGGGGCTCGTATGTTTTCTCCCCATGTTTGCATGGCCCAAAGACATACTGGTAGGTTAATAGGCTTCTGGAAAAATTGCCCTGGTGTGTGTGTCTGTGTGTGTCTGTGTGTGTCTGTGTGTGTCTGTGTGTGTCTGTGTGTCCTGGCCAGGGTGTACTCCGCTTTGCTCTTATTGCTTGCCAGTATAGGCTCTGACACCCCTGCAACACTGTCTTTGATAAAGTGGTTAGAAAATAGACAGATGGAAATTTAAAATCTATTTTAAAATGCCCTTCACTACCTTGCATACAGGATGTGAGAGTATGTGTCTGTGTACAGCTCTGTTGCAGCTGGAAGGTGGGGGCAGTTTGCTGACGTCCCTGCAGGCTTTGGGCTGCAGCTGTGCTATTGAGAGACAGGTGGTGGCCCGCAGTGTGACCTGGCGAAGGAGGCTGCCCTCCTCACAGGTGAGTGTGATCACTGCAGGACAAGGAAAGACATCCACACCTTGTGGAGAGTGGAAAGAAAGTCCGCCGGAGAACAGGTAAAAGACCATCTGCTCAGGAAAACCAGATTGTAAGATGGAGCAAATAAAAAGAAATCAATTAATAAGCAGCAATTAATATGTACATCATTTCAGAAGACTTTTCATGCTCCCAAAGAAGGTGTTTGTTTAAAGAGACATAAGAACCTGCCAACCAAGAAGATGCAGCATGTCCAGGGTTATAACACAAGAATACAAATATTAAAAATGTGAGGAGGCCATGTAGCCTGTCTTTCCTGTTTAGTTGCTAGTAACAAACAATCTCATCCTTGCTTTTCTTTGTGCAAAGTATTGCTTTCTGATTTCAGTCCTGTAAATCAGGCCTGCCCAGCTTTATAGTCAGCATTGACTGTGGGTATGTCTGATTTGATAGGGCTTGACTGGAGAGCTTGATTGCGTTTCCGAACCACACGCTGTGATCCACGTGCCAGTGGAAGACTTCATCCGCATGGTCCACAGCACCAGTCAGGTATGGGAACGCAGCAGAAGAGCCATGGCTCTTTGGACAGGCAGACTGGCAAGCCTGTCCCGCTGAGAGTTTGGGAAGAAGCATGGATGTTGGGAATATTACATTTGTTACTGCTTTGTCAGTTAATTGTCAGTGGGTTTGTTTTCCTAAGATAATGCTGTGTTTTATGATCAGGCCTTTGTGATGAGAATTAAACACATTTAGAAAACGCTCCATTAAGGTTGTAATCTTGTATTTTAGATCTGTATTCTAAAGAGTATAAGGCTTCTATGTCAGGATATTGTAAGAGTTTTTCAGAAAGATTTACGATCATAGGAAGGTTAAAAACTCTAGAAATCAGAAGCAATACATTGCCAATACAATGCTATAGATATAGTAACACTGAATATTTAGATATTGGTTGGGCAGTGTCAGATTCTTTTGATGGTTTTATTTATAAACGCAAAAACATGAAACTAGAAATGCAACGTAATAAAAACCAACTTAAATGACAACTTCTGCAAAACATGAATTTCATTTTGAATATACGTGAATGAGACTAAATGGGATTTGAGGTGGTGTGATAAAGCAGTACTCTCTCCACAGGTCCAGAGAGGTGCTGTCTCTGGCTGTGGGCCTACGCTGATCTCCTGGAGTCACAGTATTGTGGAGCAAATCACTGGCAGCATCCTGACACTGGCTGTCATCGACCTGGAAAAATACTTCAGGTGACAACTGACCGACTGGTCCTCTTCTCTGCTGTCCTCTGTGGCCTTTATTTAGGAGCTTTTCTTGCAAAAGACAAGAGTTTCAAATTTCAAGTTTCAAGAGTTCTGTTCACCTCTTAAATTAAAAACCAACAACAAATGAAGTTCAGGCATATTTAAATGTATGAGGAAGCTTTGGAGAAAGCAAAACTTAGGTCCTGAAGATATTCCATACCAGGTTAACAGAACACACTTTGGTCTTTTTGCTTTTATTTATGTATAAGACAAAAGATAAACAGGTAGGTAGGCCTATCTCTAGATAGAAACAAGTAATAGATTTATTCCATGCTGAAAAAAAAGAAGAAAACAGAACGTTTCGGCTGTGAATCCTTCTTCAGGTGTGAGCAACCTGAAGAAGGAAGAAGCAACCTGCAACCTGAGGAAGCAACCTGCTCACGCCTGAAGAAGGCTCCACGGCCGAAACGTTGTGTTTTCTTTCTTCTTTTTTTCCAGCATGGAATAAACCTATTACTTTATTTTACCTTTGCAGCCTACGCATGCTGACGCAGCTACCCACCTAAACTATCTCTAGATAGTTTTACTTTCTTTAGATAGTCAAATGTGCTCAGCAAGGGCCATGGCCAACCTGGGAGGGCCCATCTGAGGACCTCACTAAACCATCTAATAGATCATAGTGATGGGTGTAGAAAGAGCAGGGAATTTAATCAACACATGTTTTTGACTTGTGCTTAGTGGGATTCTTTGTTCATGAGAAGTTGAAAAACTGAAATATCCCGATTCCCCATCACACATGAGGTTCATGGGGTAACCTGCATCTGTCAACGAAGGGTAGACATGCACTGATCCATTCAGTGTGGCGTACGTGCAGCCCGTGATATCCGAGGGCATCACAGAATTGTTATAGCTCAATCTCGTTTACAAGTATTACAATGTAGTTTTTCCAATTATCTAATCATGTGAAAGTTGTTTTATTTAAAATGTTTTCCATATGATTGGGATCAATATAAAAAAAATGAAATTTGGTTATGTGAATGTGCTTCTTGTGCTCTAAGATATTGCAATTTCCTCCCACAGAGCTCTGATTAGTGTTTGTAGTTCTCCTGCAGTCATTGTCATTTTATCCAATCCAGACACACACAGTCCAAATAATCATTCTACACAGCCCTGTGACGCAAAGAAAAAACAATTTTACACACAGTATTGAAAAGAGACCCATTCTCCCAGATGGTAGAAATTTTAAGAGATGTTGAAAATAATATTCATTTACTCTTAACATCTCTGAATAATAGTTTGTATCCACTCTGAGCTTTAGTGAAATTTTACCATGATTATTATTCACTTTAAAAAATACTATGAATATGAAAAAAGGCTTTGGGTGCAAGTGACAGTTTTGTTCGCATCGTGTTTTTTAGCAGAAGGGTGGGAGTATCAAGGTGGCATGACACTTAGAACCGCTGTCTTATAACTCAATTGTCTTGGGTTTGATTCTGGACTAAGTCTGCTGTGGGGAGACTGAATGTGGACATTGCACTGGGAGTGTTTATGCCCTGGAACATATGATGGAACAGAATGTTTCAATCCCCCATAAAACCAGAATGATAATTTTATCTAATTCTTAGCTTTTGTGGTACTTGAAAAATACGGAGCCCTGCCGCTTGACTTATTAAGTCGCCCACCCTGTCTATAGGTCCCAGAAGTCCAAGAACCAAAAGAAGTACCGAGATGCAGTGTTGGGTGAGGGCCAGGAGGGAGCCAGTAAGCGCAGAAAGAAGAAAGAGGATAGCAAACAGCTCGTAGAGGTGTCCCGGGTGGATGTGGAAGAGGCAGGTCGATTCTGACCTTGTTAGTTGTTAGTGTAACCAGGTGTACTCGCCATTTTTAGATGATATGCATGTGCTACCTTAGATATTTTCATTCGTAAGACACATTTCCAGACTTTGATTGACTGTTCATGTTTGCTCATCCTCTGCTGATTTGATATTTTTCCCAGATGATTTTACCATTGTTCCTAATTTTTTTGTTCGCACACATCTGTTTAAATGGTTACTGCGACAGTTATTGAGATGCATTGTTTAAGGAAACAGAGGAAATCTTTACAGGTGTGAATAACTCATCAGTCCCTGATGTGAGAGATGAAAAACATGGATAATGTAAGATGTAGCAGGGTTTCTGCTTTTATGTCCAAGGTGAGATGTGTTAATCAGTGCGAGGTTGTGTTTCCTTCTAACCCTTGGCAAGTGCACGAGGCAGTACTGTACTTCAGAGAAGGGTAGGCTCTCTCTCAGTAGAAGGTGGCCGACTCTCACTTATTTTCTTTTTCATCCCTTTTGTTAGGCTCTAGTTGACCTGCAGCTGCATTCAGAGGTTCAGGTTCGGTTCCTGGAATCCTGGAAGGAGTTTTCTGATTATATTGCAATGTTCACCAAAGCAGTAGCAGAGGCACCTTTCAAGTAAGTACTATACAACTGGTGCTTCCATATTCAAAACCCAGCATGATGGTACCAGAAAATTCCCTTTATAACTTTATGGACTTTGTTGACTGTATGGACTTCATACAATGACCACTGCAATTAAAAAACCTCTCATGAACTTTGTGCAGGTCACTGCAATCTCATTTTGGGAGGTGCTGGAATGTGTATGATGTTGTGTGTGTAATGACGTGCCCTACAGGAGAGAGCGGGACCAGACAAGCTTCGGCTTTTGCCTGGAGAGCGAATGGGCAGGGGGCCACAGGGTGGAGCGCACTGGGAAGGGGCTCGTCCAGGTGTGGAAGAGGCAGATTCAGCAGCTGAACCGGGTCAGCCCCGAAATCGCCAGCGCCGTCCTGGCAGCGTACCCATCGCCCCAGCTGCTGACCAAAGTGAGTGTTTCCACAGAGACCTGCAGTCCGTTCCTGATTGAGAAGGGATCGTCTTACAGCCACCCCCTCCATTTTTAAAATATATTTCAGTGGTTTTGAGATTTTAGCCAAAACATTCAGAAATTTTCAAGTTCAGGTTGTTTTGTGAACAATTTTTCATTGTTTAGTAACAATAAGTTTTTCTCTAGTTATTGACACTTTGGTCATATAATTAATCAATTAAGCAATTGCTGTCATCTATTGTTACACATTTTTGAGGGGTAACTTTCAAACACTACTTTATGCTGAGGCCAAATTGAAAACAGTACACAGAATTCCAGCATGAGTGAAAAAGGCCTTCTCTAAATGTAACATCAATAATGTGTACAGCGGCGGATTAAAAGTTTGATAGCAATATAGTCCTTGGCTGCTGACATAGTTTCCCCTTCTCCAGCTGTTTCACTACTGTTTTTTGTTAACATTTTTTCATTGTTTAATAATATGGCACAAACAAAGTACATAATCTGTGTTTATGAATAATGCAGAAAGTGGAAAAACTCCTGATCCCAAATGCCCAGGATGGCATCTCACCCCATACTCACAAATGCACATCATCAAAAGCCAGACAATACAAAATAGATAAGAGAGAAGGCACTGAACACATTAGAGGAAGATGGAATAAAAAGACATAGCATAAGCATGGTAATATGTAGTACAATAATCACTATATTTTCTATAGACTGGATAAGGAAAGATATATGACCTAGGAAAGAGGATATGGCACACTACATATAAAAGATAGTTACTCTTGATAGATTATTTATAGATGCTATTGTTAAATACCTTCAGATACACAGAGTGGAGATTGTTGAAACTAAATTTTAAGGGGCCCAGTGCAGGAAAGCCATTTATAATTTCAAATCACAATTCATCCTCAGTAAGTACTGCTAGCCTTGGTTCAAAGCGTTTACTGCAGAAGCACTTTCACTAGGGCCTTACGACACCTGGGCACAATAAGGAAACCCATAATACAGTTCAGGGGGTGACTATAAGGTGGTAGAATATATAGTAAAACATGTTTTTGTAATTTAGTTAATTATAGTTATAATCGTCATTAAAAACTAGTGCTTTCCAAAGGACTGTTTACTGCTAAATGAATTTTAAGGATCTACACATGAAAATTATTTTTCACCTTAAAATGGCAGAAGTTTATTTGAACTAGGATCAAAGCTTATGAGCTAAACTTCATTTTTGTTAAGGCCACCTCATAGAGGATAACTATAGCAGTTTTTACAAAAGCAGTCATTCAGATGTTGAGGGGATGGACACTGAGGGTTTTGCATTAAAATCCTTAAAGATGCACTTTGTGTCCAACAGCGATTCGTGATTTGGTTTGATTTTGTATTTCTTAAGGCCTATCAGAAGTGCAAGACTGAACGTGAGAGGCACAACCTGTTGTCGGACATTCTTGTCCGTAGAGGGGAGGGAGTGACCTCGACGTCACGCCGCGTGGGCCCGGAGCTCTCCAAGCGCATTTGCTTACTGATGACGTCACCTGACCCCAACTTATCTCTGGAAACTACAGGCTGAGGGCAAACACGTGTCTGCAGAGTTGAAGATGGAATCCAAGTTGTGTTCAATCCTGATAAAAATCGTTTAGCAGACACTTTTAGACAGGGTGATTGTTAGGAGCGAACAAAGGGGGCATTAACAGATACATACAGATACATCTTCGATAAAAAATCAAGATACCCTAATATTTTTTTCCTAAATTAAAAAAAATGTATTTAAGTGATACATTAACATTTTTAAAATAAAGTGAATCCTTAAAAAAAAAAGTATTCCTGATGGAAAGTGCTATTTTCAACCCAGCTGCAGATAGATGCATTTGAATTTGCCATTGAATCAATAAGGAACTAGTAATAATTGAGCAAGTGATACCAGCACCTTTCTTTAATTCCCACATCTTAGAGAGCAAATAGGGATAGCCTATGTTTCCACTCTTTGATCATATATATCTAAAATAAAATAATTTAACGGAAATTATTCACATTAACCTTTGCCTAGGTATTTATTCTGAAAGGTTTTCTTACTCTGTCCCTTGAAATCAAACAGCACCCTTGTAATGCAAACCTGTAGTTTGTCCTGTCACTTGTTGCTAATTATTATGGGTGTTCTAGTAAGTTCCTATCACTCATGAGTAATGGAAGTTTTCTCTAATTCTTGTCACTGTTTGGTTGTAAGATTAATCAATTAAGCATTTGTTATCACCTGTTATTACATAATTTTAGGTTTGATGAGCAGCTACTTTCAAACACTACTTTCAGCTGAGGCCAGATTGAAAACAGTACACAGAATTCCAGCATGAGTGAAAAAGGTCTTCTCCAAATGTAACATCAATAATTTGTACAGCTTTGGATTTCTTTACTTCTTCTATTAAAAGTTTGATGGCAATATAGTCCTTGGTGCTGGCATAGTTGCCCTTTTTTCCAGCTGTTGCACTGTTGCTCCTGGGGCCTGGCAGAATATAGCTGTGCAGTAATTACAAAGGTTCATATTTCAGTTTCTTTGCAAGTTCAGTTTTTTATCTGTTTGTCTCTTATTCAGCAAGATGACTTGCAGGGGCATCAGCTCTTCCAGCTACAGTTCTTCCACAGTAACTACTGTGATACATACTCCTGAAATTGCTAACGTCACGAATATCTTTGTAAATGTACTAGTGGTGTGTTTTATTTAAATGATGAAATAAAGTCAGTTTTTAACAGTTTTCATTTTGTTTTGATTAATTTCTGGACATCAAAGATGACTATTACTTTTTTCATAATACAAATAATTGTTTTAATAAGATGTCAACAACAGCAAATGCACAGTGGAAAATGAAATGTTTTTTTTTATATCCTGATCTAGACCCATTGAGGTGGGAAATTAACCCATGTGAGAATTACGTAATTAATCAATTAATGCACCAAACATGAACCTACAAAGAATGGGGGCTTTAATGACTTCTAGTGGACCTCATCCAGGTGGATGCTGCACATTGGTGGTGGTGGAGGGGAGTCCCCATTACCTGTAAAACGCTTTGAGTGGAGTGTCCAGAAAAGAGCTATATAAGTGTAAGCAATTATTATTATTATTATTATTATTATTAGTGGCAGGTCAGGCAAAACTAAAACTATACTAATTACTGCTGGCCTGCCTCTCTTATGTTTGTGTAAGACATGCTTTTTTTGTATAAATGCAATATTTTTGGCTATCTAGAGTATTATTTTCTCAACTTCCTTTTTTCCAAGATCTGATGTACAAGCACTACTGAAATACATATCTGAGAAACTCTGAGTGATTGAAAACAATATGTTGCAGACCACCGGGAGAAAAACAGGGCAATGCTGCAACCTAGTGGTAATTTTACTGAAGGCACCTCTTCATTAACCTGGTAAATTGTTGTTCTGTTTATTAGACAACTGTCATTATGTTCCTGTCTCTCTGTATTTGATACAACTGCTTGGACATGACCCCTATACCAAAAAGTCTACTTTCCTGAAACTATTATTAAAAACACAGCCGTGCTATACGCATTAGAGGAAAGCCCTAGAATTGTTTTTATCATGATCTTTAAAAAGAAAACAAGCATGTGTTAAAGAGCTAACAGCTAAATTGATACAATTTAAAATAATCTAGAATAGGAAACTTCGTTTTATATTTGCAGCCTTTTCTAATATTTTGTTAAATAATGTTATTCTAAAGTTTCTAAAAAAATGGTTAGCAATGGGAAGTAATGCAGTGGTCAGTATTACTTCCTTGCAGCACTGTGGCCCTGGGTAGAATTCCAGTGGTGCTGTCTGTGTGGAGTTTCTATGTTCTCCCTGTGTTTTGTGTGGGTTTCCTGCCGGGGCTTCTGTTTCCCCCCCAAAGTCCAAAGACATGTAAGGTTAATTGGCTTTTGGGAAAACTGGCTCTGGTGTGAGTGTGTGCATGTTTGTCTGTGTGTTCTCTGTGATGGACTGGTGTCCTGTCCAGAGTGTACCCTGCCTTGAGTCCATTGCACCTGTAACATTCAGTGGACGAACAGTGTCTTATATATTTTTTTCATCCTGAGCTCTCACCTACATAGTTGAACAAGTTAATTAAAGGGGAAATGCAGTCCCAATTTCTCAGGCCAGTTATTAAATCTCGGTAACAAAATAAATTCATGGACGGTACAGAAAAAAAATCACAAATTTTGAATTGAGCACAAAATCATGAACTTTGTGAAGGTACTTTAAGTCGCCATGTTGTCGCAAACCACTTGTCTTGCCACAAGCGAGAGTTAGAGTTCCCACAGATTGTGAAGTGATGCGGCTCTTCCTGCTCACTGGTCATTGTAATGACTAATGTAGTGCAATGTACAAGCAAATTAAATACAGTTTGTGCAGCAGACATTTCACCACAGGAAGTTTCCAACGTGATCTGCATGCAGAGTTAATGAGTAAGTTACATTTATCAACAAAAACATCTTGAAGTCGAGAGCAATATTTCTCTTGGATTTAAAGAGATATGTTCACATGTATTCTATGTACTGCATTTAGATCTATTCATGTACAGTATTACAGTGAAATAGGGCTGCTTCACTTCACTGGTAGTTTTATTGCCTTGTCGCAATTTATTGTCTGAATCGCAGAATACGGCACTGTGCATACCTGGAAATTTAATCTATGTAAATTAGAGGTTTTACAAGTTACTGTGTACATTTTAATTTTATTGTGGTTTGAAATGCAATCATCAATGTTGATTCTCTCAAATCCCGAAATATAAAAATACTGTAGCTTTACAGTTCCTCTTTAATTGCATCACATTAGTCTAAACAGGCTTCGTTGCATTTGTAGGTAGCTGTACCTTAAATGAAATGAACGACTTGATTAATGGGCAGTAAAGAGATTAAGGAATATTTTATATATATATGTCTCTGTAAGAAAATATTGAGGTTAATTGTTTAATTTACTGCTCAGGTTGGAACAAAAAACAGAAGACTTAAGGTCTTCTGGACCTGTACATAAGAGCGCTGCTAACAATGTTAAATTAGGCTTACAGTAAGTAGTCTTAAGACAAGCACCCCCAATTTTCTGTAAGAAAATGATTTAACATACTGTCAAAGAAAAGGCTGTGTTTCTTAATGGTTGATCAAAGTAAAAACAGTTTGTGTGAAAGAGAGTTCTTTGATGAAGAAGAAATCAAGTCAGTTTGGAATGTGTGTCTAGGACCATCCATAATTCAGCTGATGCATAGAGCAGATCTGTTTCATCATTATTTGAAGGCTGGGGCATTGTGGATTTTAACTGCCCCATATTAAGCAGTGAAGACTGTGATTTAAGCAGAGGGAAACAAATCTGTACTGTCCAGAGTCAAGGAGCTCCTCTAGTTTGTTATGTTGGCTGCCCTAGTCATCTTATAACCATTAATGCAAAAACATTTTCACTTAAGCCCAGCTAAGGTCTAATCCATCTAGTTATATAAATGGGGACCAACAGAGCTGGAGGTAGGCCCTGTGGTGGACCGGTCATGTGCTTTTCCCTCTTAACATGCCAGGAACTAGGATAAGGTTTAGCCCGATGTGTGGCTTGGGTGTGGATCACTTCTTTAAATTCTCACTTTAAAGTAAAAATACAGTGATTGCAAGATCAGGCTTTAGTCTGTATAGAAACAAAGGCCATGTTGCCATGGCAATGCATTCTGCTGTGTGTGGTGCATGCTGTAGTGAGTGAAAACTTTGATACAAGGTGAAAATTCACTAAATAATTATCTGAATGCCTCCAAAGAAGCCATCTGGAGTTGAATTTAGAAATCATAAGATGGGGAGAGAAGAGGAAACAGGCAAGCTTTCTCAGCAGTGGCAAAATTGGCTGACAAAGGCTGTTGTCTCACAGATGGTGCAAGCTCAACAGCAAGATCAAGTTCAGTTGCAGAACAGGAGGAGGTTAGTGCTGTCAGTGCAACAGCTGCAGTAGGATATAATTTTTAAAGCAAGAATTCTGAATCTTGTGAATCTCGAGATTCCACTCCACTGCTTCTGCAATACCAGGGTCAGTGTAAACAAGCTTCTTGAAACAATTTTGAGGTTAATGATACTGGTTTGGGGCGGCACAGTAGTGCAGTTGTTAGCATCGCTGCCTTGCAGCACATGTGGCCCTGGGTTCAGTTCCTGGGGTGCTATCTGCGTAGAGTTTGCATGTTCCCCCCTGTTCATGTCGATTTCCTCCAGATGCTCTGGTTTCCTCCTTCAGTCCAAGAACATACTGGTAGTTTAATTGGCTGCTGGGAAAATTGGCTCCATGCGGGTGTGTCTGTGTGTTTGCCCTGCAATGGAATTGTGTCCTGTTCAAGGTGTGTCTTGCCTTGCGACCATTGCTTCCCAGGATAGTCTCAATCTACCCTAAGACCCTGAACTGGAAGAAGCAGATAGAAAATGGATGGATGAAACTGCTTAGTTGGGATGGAATCTGAGGTGCTGTTTAGTGGGACAGAAATTCCAAAATCTCCAGTCGGAAACACACAGATTTTGCTCCGTCAGCCTCTGATATAAGGAGATGATCAGAAGTTGACTGTAGTTTAAAACTCAAACAGAAAACAGCAAAATGCAACTATTTTATGTAGTGGGAAATATAGAGCTGTATTTTATTTCTCCCATGTGCTCTGAATAAACCTCACCTTCCACTCCAGGGATCACAAAACCTAAGACGAGGTTCTCTGACTGGAAATGTTTGAACCCCAGGACATGAAAACTCCAGAACTGGCTGGAGCATCTTCAAAGTTAAGATGGAGGACTTTTGAGATTGTGAAGCCAAGCAGTTCTTATGCTTTGATTCTAATTTTCTTTTTTTAGTTGACGTCTGTAGCCAGATTGTATTCGAAAACAATATTAATTTAATAAATTAGTCTTTAAATCACCAATAGATTTTGTGTATGTTACAGTATTAATGTGAATCCAGGGATTTCACAGAAACTCTAAATGTTTAAACAGGGATGTCAAAGTATTTACTTAAATATTTAGGGACTACAAATCCCTAGTTCGTACTGTAGTGTATGGCTAGGGATAATGCATATTAAGTGTGGATACGTATGATCTTCCATGGTTACCTTTTCTTTCCAACTGATCAGTGCATGCCTCTGGATTTGCTTTTATACACAGAGGCATGGTGGTGCAGTGGTGAGCATTGCAGTTAATTGGCTTCTAGGAAAATTGGCTCTGGTGTAAGTGTCTGTGTCTGTGTGTGCCCTGCAATGGATTGGTTGCCAGGAGGCTCCTGCTCCCCCGCCACCCTGAATTGGATAAAGCAGCTTGAAAATGGTGGGTGTTTGAACTGAAAAAAAAATACCACATCTCTTCATTTTTTTCCCATGCAACCACTAACAGAGGACTGACAGACCATGTTGCCCCACTGTAGGTGCTTCCTCTGGGATTATGTAGTGTGTACACACCTGAGGCCTGATGGGACAAGAGCAGTGCTGTGCCAAAAGGCAGAACAGATGGTGTTTATTAGGCTCATTGGCAGTGTGCCTTTATACAGGCCTTGTGAAACAGACAATTAGAATAGAATGAACGAACGCAGTTCAAACTAGCAGTTCTCAACCCTGGGACTGGAGAACCCCTTTGTCTTTTGATTGTTATTCCAGCTGAGGTCTTAATCAATTAGGCTAATTCATCTAATTGATAGTTGATTAAGTCTTTATTTATGTAATCAGTAAGATGGATGGGGTGGAACCAGGTTTACCGGGCGGAGCTCAGTTGGATAA